TAGACTCACAGGGCTGGGGAAGCAAGATATTTGTAGCAGAAACAGGAAAAGTTGGTATGCCATACAAATTAGTATGAAAAACAGGGACAGTATAATGTAAAAATGAGCAAAATACATTCAATTAGCCAATAAGCATTTTAAAGGAACTTAAATTGTGATACACTAGGAGAATGGAGACTAAAACTGCTACATGTCACGGTCCTCACTAGCCCTCACTGTGAGCTGATTAAGCCACTCAATCCTGCAATGTCAGCATCCCAGTCTGTGTCCCAGTTGCTCCATTCCACTTCGGGATCAGCCGGGTTGAGCTAGGCAGCAGCTAGGCACATCAGGGTGTACAATAGCTGTGTGGGATGTGGCATGGACCAATCAGTCTGCTGCACACACCACATGCAGAAAACAGACACTGAGGGCAGGCCTGGGAAAGCCGGTGCTATATCAGCCCAAAGCCAGGAACTCCACATGGGTTTCCCACAAATTTAAGCACCTAGGCCATCATCTACTTGTTCCCTGGTATATTAGCAGAAAATTGGATTGAACGTATGGGGCAGCTGCAACTTTTACTAGGCACTCTCTAATACGGGACTCAAGCATTTCAAGTATAGCTTAATCCAGGTACTGCTTAGTATGCTGTGCCAGGCCACAATAGCATCATTCCCCTTGGGCTTTGACTGACTAACCACTGTCCTAGCAGCCAAAAGCAAGGCTACATCGACACAAACACACATGCTCACACAACATGTACAGAAGCATACTTATGTTTATATAAAAGGAACTTGGAGAAGTTCCTGGAAAAGTAGACTTAGAAGATAAGTACTGGGCCTAGCACAATGACTCAATGGCTAAATTCTCACCTTGCCAGCACCAAGATCCCATATGCATGCTAGTTCATATTCTGGCTGTTCCACTTCCCATCCAGCTCTCTGCTTGTGGCCTAGGAAAGCACAGGATGCCCCAAAACCTTGGGATCCTGCACCTGTGTGAGAGACATGGAGAAGCTCCAAGCTCCAGGCACCCAGCTTTAGGGCTCAGGTCCCACTGTAGCAAACATTTGGGGAGTGAACTAGCAGATGGAAGATCTTTCTCTCTGTCTCTCCTCTCCATAAATCTAATTTACCTTTCCAATAAAAAAATGAAGAAAAAAGAAAAGTACTCTGGTACAGAAAAAATTCTGAAATCGATAGTTTAGTAGTATACATTTTTTTCAGGCTTTCTGAACTCTATCTACACAGTCTAGGTAATAGCAGGTTATAGTATCTATATATAAAATATTATATTTGATGTTTATAAAAGGATGAAATCAATAGATTTCTTAGAACTCTTCCTAAGCCACACATGAACATAATTCTATACCTAAATTTTTATTCAAGAGCAAAAATCATTTTCAAATATTTAATAACTTCAGAAAGATTATCACCCTTTTAGACACTATTACTCAAGACTACATCAACAAAATTTAAAAGGCATCTAGAAAAATAAATAAGATTCAATTAACATCAGAACCAGCCTAGCAGTGAGTGTAACAATTTGCCCTGGATGACAGCTGGGTATAGGTCTAGAAAGTAAGCTTCCAAAATTAGAAACGGAAACCAGGATTCCAGAAAGCCAAGAAAAGCTGCATGGTAACAAGACCAGCACACGCTGTAAGGAGCTCACCTCAATGAGCTCTTCTCACTTGAGCAGGGGTGTGTTATCTTTCTCCTTCTAAGCACTACAGCTTAAAACAGTAGTAAAAGGATCTCCATAACCCACACTAACCGGTTTTGCAGAGATTAACACAGCCACAAGCATATTTAAAAAGATGCTGATACAACTCAATTTTCAAATTTTTTCCTGTAAAAGTACAGAAAAATTATGAGTTCTACACAATTAACTATCACCAAAAAAATCATCAGTAGCAAAGCTAGAAACAAGACTTTTAACTAAAGTAATAAAAATGGAAAACAACTTATTTCTAACAAACTCAATATATATTGCTTAGAGTTAATACATAGGAAAAACTGACTTTCAGGACTGACAAAAATGAAAAAACAAAATAGCTAAAACCAGTTATAATGGAAGTGAAACTTATGGGAAAGAAACTATTTTATTAATTTTCCCATATAATCTGTGTAAGTATTGTTTTCATTTAAAAAGAACAACAGAGGGGCCCAGTGCAGTGGCCTAACAGTTAAGGTCCTCGTGCTAAACGCGCCAGTTCTGGACCCAGTGGCCCAGCTTGCTCACTGCTTGTGGAAGGCATCTGAGGACGGTCCAAGGGTTTGGGACCCTGCACCCACGTGAGAGACCTGGGGGGAAGTTTCTGGCTCCTGGCTTTGGATCTGCACAGCTCCAGCCATTGTGGTCACTTGGACAGGTGAATCATCGGACAAAGGATCTTTCTTTCTGTCTCTCGTAATCTCTGTATGTCTGACATTGCAATAAAAATAAATAAATGTTAAAAAGAAGAAACAAAAGAGAACAATAGAGGGCCCGAGGCAGTAGCCTAGTGGCTGAAGTCCTCACCTTCAAGAGACACCAAAGGGAAGTCCACATGATGAGTCAGGAAGCAAAGTTAGGCAGAACCTGGATCAGGGAACTCGGTATATAAAACCAATCTTTTTTAAGAACCACTTGCCAGGGACCTTGTCCACAACATAACATAAAGACCTGCTAGGGTCCAGTATAGTGGCCTAGTGGCTAAAGTCCTCACCTTGAATGTACCTGGATCCCATATGGGTGCCAGTTCTAATTCTGGCAAGCCCCGCTTCCCATCCAGCTCCCTGCTTGTGGCCCGGGAAAGCAGTTGAGAACACCCAAAGCCTTGGGACCCTGCACCCGCATGGGAGACCCAGAAGAAGCTCCTGGCTTCAGATCAGCTCAGTTCTAGCTGTTAAGGTCACTTGGGGAATGAAATCAACGGACAGAAGATCTTCCTCTCTGTCTCTCCTCCTCTCTGTATATCTGACTTCGCAATAAAAATAAATACATTTTACAAAAAAATCTCAAGCATCAACTTCTCTGTTCACCATCTATCTGATTCATATGTTTAAATAAATAAAAACCTGCTACTGGGTCCACATCCTACACTCCACAAGTCAATCAACTCTCCACCTTCAACTCATCAGCAATCAACTAATCTATTAAACATTAATGTCAAGACTTTGGGAACTAAATCTATGTTTGAGTTGGGGAGTTAAGAACCGCTCAATCCCTAACGCTCTCAGTGCCTCAGTTTCTTCAAAGAATTATGAACATAAGAACTATGCTTGCAGTGCTCAAACAGAACCAGGCATGCAATAAACACTTGAAAATAATGAACATACAGCAGCAATATCCCCATTGTTTGCAATGGGGGAGCAGGTTACAGTCCAATTAAAACATCGGGTGACCGGGCCTGCTCAGTAAGGCAAGCCCGCAAGCATCTGCTCAACCTGTATTCTCCCCTCCTGCAAACTCCCCAATCAGCAGGTGGAGAGTCTGTGTCAAGTGACTTACAAACATTTCATGAAAATGATTCATACAGCAAAACGGAAAGGAGGCAGAAAGAAGAAAAAGGACTTTCTCTGGTTTCCATTAGTTTACAGTTTGGTCCCCCTTGAACCTGAGCACAGGCTGCCCATCTGCCCAGCGCACAGCGCTATTTCCGTTCCCACCACACAGGGAGCTCCTCCTGACAACATTCAGAAAAGCCAAAAATTCATCATTCGCTAGAAAGCCTGCAAGAGAACTTTATATACACCTTTCAGCACGCCAAAAACTAAGACAAAAAACATAACTTCTCAATCCCTCGTAAACCCAAAGCAAGAATCTACAGCTGTGCCTGGCCTGGGTGGTTCAAAACTCCACAGGTGTAAATAGCTCTACAGCTTGGGCCCAACTACTGGGGGTGAGGGGGGCCTTCAGACTCCAGCGCCGACAGACACCCTTTCCTTTCCCAACAAGGTTCTCTGTATAAACCAGTACAGAGCATAATATGCATGTGAAATACCTTCCTCTTTATCAGGAAATTTAAAAACTCATTTTAATATAGGAGAGTAAACGGCAGGCAACGTGCAACCTGTGGCAAGCTCCTTTCACACCTGCCCAACATCCTTCCTTACCCTACCCCAAACTCAGGCTTTCCCCTAATCCTTGCTCCTTCTCACGCAAGCAAGAAACCCTGCAACATTTTTCTACGCCATGCAAACTGCTTGCAGTTAATTCCCCGTCCCTCACTTCTACCTTGAAATACATTTTACGAGAGAGAGAGAAGTCAGGATTTCTCCTATAAAATCCTAAATACCCTATTTCCGTCGGAGATCCAGACAATAAAACCGGCTCTTTCATCACACTTAGTTTTTTTTCCCATAAAGATTAAAAGGTTATCAGTCCGGGCGTTCTTTCCTCTTACACTCCCACTTCAAACCTCTTCCACTCCACAACATTATCAACAATCATTTTAAAAAAAAAAAGTTATGAGCTTGTTTAACGACTAAGACGACCAAAACAAAAAAATGTATTTCCCTGCAAGAGCAGACAAGACTGCTCAGACAAACCTCCTGCCCACTCGGCCTCTGCAGATCTCTCAAGCACGGCACTTAGCAGCACGGTTTAAGCCCGGCGATCGAAGTTCCCAAAGGCCCACGCGGGGAAGCGGCGGAGGCAGGAAGGGGCCTCCTCTCCGGACGGACCTGACCATCCGCGGAGGACACGCAAAATCCCAAACGCAACTTGGCGACTCAGAAAAACAGGCGCCCGGCAAGTGAGCAGCACGCAGACTTGGCGAGCGCCACGCACAACAGGGCCCACCCCCCGCCCGGCCACAAGCCGCTCGCCACACCTCAGCCCTCGGGCGTCCCCGCCAGCTCCGACCCCACGTGTCCCCGCGCGGCCCGGGCCGGCCCCGCGTCCTCCTCGGCCCCGCTCCCCTCACGCTGGCCCGGCCAACCGGCCCCGGCCGAACCAGAAAGCGGCGGCGGCCGGGCGACGCGGCGGCTTCCCCGCCCCCCTCGCAACCCCTCCCCCGCGTCCCCGCTTACCCTCAACTCCTCGAAATCCGCCATTTTATATCACCCGCGGGCTCCGCCGCTATCGCCGCCGCCGCCGCACCCCCTCCCGCTACCGCCAACGACGCCGCCACCACGGCCGCCACCGCCGCCTCCAGCACCATCCTGCACTGGGCGCCGCCGAAGACGCCGCGGCCGCCGCCACCACGGCCGCCGCCGCCGCCGCCGCCGCCGCTGCTGCCGCCGGGCCGCTCACGTGACCGGCGCGGGAGCCCCGCCCCCCGGCGCGCCGCGGCCCCGCCCCTCGCGGCGCCCCCTGCCCACAGCGCGCGACCGCCTTCCGCCAGCCGGCTCCCGCGCCAGACGCTTCCCCGCACGCTTCCGGCGTGCTCCTCGGGCGCCGGGTCGCCTCTGGCCCGCTCCTCGCCGAGTCCGTGCCCACTGCCCGAAGCACCGTGGGCCAGAGCGGCGTCCTCGGCGGACCTAGAGGAGGGTCCGGCCTGAAGGGGGTGGCAGGGACTTGTGTCGGGGAACCTTCAGGAAGATTCTCTCGGCGCCCTTCGCAAGGTGGCTACTGACGGAGGTGCAGCTGCAAGTAGACCACCCCTCAGGGTAGTTGTGGCCGAACAGTGGAAATATGGGTTTTGGTAAGCTGTTGTTTGGATTCTGTGATTCAAATTGAGTGAGTCCTCTCATTTGGTAGTAGCCTCCAAGTACCGACTTTTGAAGGGCGCCTGAATGTCACGGACTGCAGATTTGCAAAAGTTGGGGGTGAGGGCTGGGGAAGAAATGAAACAGGAGCACTCAGAAAGGCCTTAATAAAAAGTGGAGGGGTCAGGGAAATGTGATAACGAGCGAAGAAGGCGATGCCAGGGCAGAGTAGTTGGGAGGCGGCTCCCTGGCACCATGGGGTGCTGATAAAGGATGCCAGAAGATGCTGAGTCAAGCTGGGCCGAGAAGAGCTGCATGAAAGGATTTCTAACACGAGTGATGCCGTCTGTGCCCGCCGCGCACCGAGGCCTCTTGTCTTCCAGGCCTTCCAGCAAGGGCCCCCTCCGCCTTCCACCAAGTTTTCAGACAGCTACGGGTTGGCCTTGAGACCCAGATTAAAACTTCTTTCCAACTCTTAATTTCTCTTAACTCTTGTTCTTCCTGTGCATCAGTTTGGCTCTTTGCAAAAAATCTGTTCACCTAAATCCCCCAGTTTGAATTCGGCTGCTCGTTAAATTAAACCTAGGCCTTTGCCTCCTTACTTTGAAGTCTGTCCTTAGTGGTATGTGTTTGTGTTAAAGCTAGGTCTTAAGGCGCATGCTGTAAGGCCAAAACCTGAGCTGTAATCAAGTCGGATGCCGCTGTACAAGCTTGGGCTTGCTGTGCAGGAATGCTGGCTGATCTCATTGTAACTCAGTTAGTGTGCCCACCAAAGAAACTGCCTGAAAATCCTTAAGAAAAGCTGATTAAGACTACTACGTTGCAATTTTGTCTTCTGATATCTGTTATGAACTACTCACAAGACCATGAACTTTTCCTTTGTGTGTCTGTGCCAATTATGTAGGTGTTTGTGTGATTTTTTATATGATGATAAAACTATTTTTTTTTTTATCTAAACCCCTTAGACTGTATTGACTGGTAAGTGTCTGACAAGTAATTACTGAGTAAAGGACTGAACACTGAATGAGCAGTGTCTACTAGATTTTAATTCTTTGTGATTTTAACTTGGCTTATTCCTGTCTTTAGTCGATTGTCCTTAGGCTTTCATTATCGTTGTGTAACAGACATTAAATTAATGCCGCCAGGCAAGGAGCTTTAGAGGAACAGAAAGAGGCTCTGCTGCCCAGGAACTTAACATGAGAGGGACCAACATCAATAAAACTGTTGAAAGAAGCAGGAGGCTTCTTGAGGTGTTCAATGTAGTACAGCACAGGTGGGTTGGGGAGCTTTGACTTCAGAGTCCTAGGTGCTATTCCAAATGGCCTAAGCCAAACAACTATTATATTCCTCCCAGCTGGTGATGAGATCAAAACTGGACAAGTGCATCCAAGTAGCACTGGCCATTTGCAGAATGGCAAAACCGAGATTGGCTTTGTCGTTTACCCTACCTCAGTTTTCCTGAGCCAGTACCTTTCCTGTACTGTTTAGATGATTTGGGTTCAATTTTTTTTATCATTTGTACTCAAAAGAATTGTAACTCAGGGTACTAATGTGTCTCCCCAGAGCAGAAGTTCTTATTTTCTGAACTGTCCGGCGAGCGGTAGTGGGTGGAAAGGATGCCTCAGTCTTCACCCTAGTGAGCTCTTCCACCCAAATCTGTGCATTGTAGCCATCAAAAAGATCCCTGCATTGATCTGGATGCGGCTTTCACGTGGCATAGGGAGGGAGGGATGGTAGTCTCAGAATTCATGGTAGGTCACATACAGAAGAAACTCCTCCAACGGGCATAAACAAAAAACTTCTCCTCTTTATATTCCAATGATAAAAGGTATTAACACTGAATTGAGCCAGGTAATTATCTGGTTAGTCCTCCCTCTTAACACGGTTCCAATTAGAAGGCTCATTATAAGTATTGTGATTAAAAGTGTCCTAAGATTATACTACATGAAGTCAAAAGTCTCAGGAGTGGCTTTTCAATTTATTAGCTGTGTAACTTGAGTAAAGTTTCAACCTAATTTTCTTACTCTGAAGCAAATGATTACACCTGATCTCAGGGTGTGAGGATTAAAAGGAAATGAGATATCAAGTGTACTTTCTCAATTTACAGAGTGAAGGAAGATAAAAGTCTTTGTCCCTAAAGGACTGATAAACACACACTAAGAAAAATAATACTAATAAGCCTTGCATTAAGAAGCAAATGATCTATGTGATATATTCTAGTTATTTTAGAAAAGAATATTCAAGGGCCCGGCAGTGTGGCCTAGCAGCTAAAGTCCTCACCTTGAATGCGCCAGGATCCCATATGGACGCCGGTTATAATCCCGGCAGCCCCACTTCCCATCCAGCTCCCTGCTTGTGGTCTGGGAAAGCAGTCGAGGACGGCCCAAAGCTTTGGGAACCTGCACCCGTGTGGAATACCCGAAAGAAGTTCCTGGATCCTGGCTTCGGACTAGCATAGCATCGGCCGTTGCGCTCACTTGGGGAGTGAATCATCGGATGGAAGATCTTCCTCTCTGTTTCTCTTCCTCTCTGTATATCTGACTTTCCAATAAATAAATAAATCTTAAAAAAAAAAAAAAAAAGAAAAGAATATTCAAGGCCTGATGTGGTAGCCTAGCTGCTAAAGTCCTTACCTTGCACACACCAAGATCCCATATGGGTACTGGTTCCTATCATGACTGCTCCCTTCCAGCTCCCTGCTTGTGGCCTGGGAAAGAGTAAAAGACAGCCCAAAGCCTTGGGACCCTATACTGCCTGAGAGACGCAGAAGAGTCTCCTGGCTTTGAATCACCTCAAGTCCAGCCGTTGTGGCCACTTGGGGAGTGAACCAGCAGACTGAAGATCTTCCTCTGTCTCTCCTTCCTTCTGTATATCTGCCTTTCCAATAAAAATAAATCTTTCTTAGAAAGAATACTCAACCTAAATGGACCGTTGATTGAATATTGAGTTTAGTTTCAAGTACCTATCTTGTTTTTCTCTTACAAATTTTATTTATTTTTATTGGAAAGGCAGGTAAGGTTTACAGAGAAAAGCAGATAGAAAGAAAGGTCTTCCATGCACTGGTTTACTCTCCAAATGGCTGCAGTGGCAGAGCTGAGCCGATCCAGAGCCAGGAGCTAGGAGCTTCTTCCAGGTCTCCTTCGCGGGTACAGTCTGAAGGCTTTGGGCTATTCTCTACTGCTGTCGCAGGCCACAAGCAGGAAGCTAGATAGAGGGGGAGCAACTATAAGAAGTTGTCTATCAAGAAAATCTAAAGCAGCGGCTGGTGTGGTGGTGCAACAGGCAAATCCTCCACCTTGTAGAACTAGTTCATATCTCAGCTGCTCCACTTCCCATCCAGCTCTTTGTTTATGGCCCAGGAAAGCAGCAAAGAATTGCTCAAAGGCTTGGGATTCCTCTGTAAAATTTGCCTTTAAAATAAAAATACATATTTTTTTTTTAAATTGAGAGCAATTACAGCAAAATGTGAGGATTTGACAGACTTAGAAGGTGGATATACCAATATATTGTTCTATGCACATCAAGTGGGCCCGGCGCGGTGGCCTAGCAGTTAAAGTCCTTGCCTTGAATGTGCTGGGATCCCATAGGGGTGCCAGTTCTAATCCTGGCAGCCGCACTTCCTATCCAGCTCTCTGCTTGTGGCCTGGGAAAGCAGCCAAGGACAGCCCAAAGCCTTGGGACTCTGCACCCGTGTGGGAGACCTGGAAGAAGTTCCTGGCTCTTCGCTTTGGATCGGTGCAGTTCAGTCATTGCGGTCACTCGGGGAGTAAATCAGTGGACGCAAGATCTTTCTCTCTGTCTCTCTTCCTCTCTATATATCTGATTTTGCAATAAAACAAATAAATAACTCTTTAAGAAATATTTAATAAAGTAAGTCCTAAATCTCTACATTTTGCAGGAAGTTCATGCTATTGCCACCTTTGATCTCGGATGACTGCAGTAGCTTTCCATCTATATCTCCTTTCTGTCTTGTCCCAGAACAGTCCTGCTCAGTATAACAGCATTATCCGCTATTGATGCAAACCATCTTCTTATTCACAACCTTTCAATTGGTTTACATTACTCCAAAGGTAAGAATCGAGTTGTCAGTCGAGAGGACCTTGCTTTCATCTGCTGCCTTTAGCTCTTGTTCCCTTCATTTCGCCAACCTTCTTCCTTTACCATCACTATCGCCTGTTTTATTTTTCTGATGAACTTCTCACTGCCTCAAATTATATTCATCCGTGGATTACGAGTACAGTGGTTCCAACTCTCTCCAGATCCCAACAGAAGATAAACCCCGCGAAGTCTGAGACTGTTGCTTCCTGCATCTCCATTAGCAAAAACTTTAACTCATAGCAGGTATGAAATAAATATGTCCTAAGTTAATGAAAGCTTGCCTTTCTTCTGATTCCGAAAAGGGTAGAGATGCCATCTCAGTGGTAGATGCAGTGTAACCACATGTGGAGGCTGGACATTATGTGGTCTTGTATCCACAACAGCTAACTGTGCCAGGCATTTCCAAGCACTGCCACTACATACTCTTCAGGGTTCGTGCCAGCCTTGCTCTCCTCCGTAGGCTC